CTAGCACTTTATGAGACAGCACAACCTCAAGCGCATGACCGTCGATCAACAATGGTGATAGATCAGGTGATTCCCTCAGAAAGCAAACGCGTAGTTCTTTCCACTTTTGGGGTTAAGTTTCATAAGGTTGCACGAAGCCAAAGAATTTATAGTATCAATACAGAACTGAAACTTTGAATTGCTGCCTTTTGTGATATTTTCAGATGTTGATATGTCATCCACAAATTTCCAAATATCCGTTGCGTGTGGTTTTACATAGAGATAATTTATCATCGCCAAAAACAGAATTGGACCGAGTTTAGTTCCCTGGGGGACACCCGCATTCATTGGCAACCAGACTGACGTTTTCCCTCAACGTTTGACCCGATGTCGGCGGTTAGTTAGGAAGTTGTTAATCCAAGGTAACAAGGACGATCTAACACCTAGGTCCAACAGCTTTAATATTAGTAAATTATGTCCTAGACGGTCAAACGCCTTTTCGAAGTCAAGAAAACAATTAGTCTAAGATGTTTTTCAGGACACTCTAATTTGATCAACCAAGTGTGGATCATGTCTAAAAGGCAATAAGTTGTGGATGTTCCTTTCAAGCATCCAAACTGCTTGGGGTCGATCTTGTCTTTAATATCGGTTATCATCCACCCGACCACGAAATCTTCAAGAACCTTAGCCAGGCAGGGTGTCAGTGAGATGGGTCTGGTATCACCTTCACAGGTAGGAGGTTGTGATTTTGGAACTGGTATGATGTCTGAGTCTTTCCATATTGCAGGACGATTCCAGATGAAAGTGATTCATTGTAGATAGTTGCAACTGGTTCGGCTAATTCATGGGCAAACTCTTTCAGGATACGACAGGGGACGTTATCTGGGCCGTGAGCTTTAAAAGGTTTAATTTTTAATAGCTTTTTAGATACTTCGTGTGGTTGAGCTGTTGAAGCAGGTTCTTCGGCCGACGAAATGCCGGGAGTGTCGCTAAATTAAGTGGTGGAATGTCACTATTCACCGATGCATCGAACACATTCAAAGCTCTAACTAATTCTGATTGATCCAAGATTCTTCCATCATGTTCAAGCGAGAAGGAGTTCTTTCCAGATTTTCCTGCTATTTTATTGACGATTTTCCACCACATACGGCAGTCATCCTTCTTTAAATGTTGCACCTTTGTTTTGTAGTACGATATTTTCCTCGCATTGATTTCATGTTGGACCTTATATTTTAACGATTTCCACAAGATTGTATAATGACCACGAAACGCCTTTTGTCGATATTTGATAAGCTGTTTTATTGCAGGTGTTATCCATGGTTTATCGGTGTGATGACGTGTTGACGTCTGTTGTGGGAAGATTCGGTCAATACTTTCTGTTAACTGGTTTGTAAACGAGACTGCCAAGCTATCAACAGTAGGGTTGGGTTCAAGGTCACAAAACCAATTATGTGTGGCAACCCATCTTCCGAAAGCATCTATTCCCGATCTGCGATAGCGCCGTGCTAAGGATTTAACAGGTTTTGCTTGGATGTTGTGGCTGGGAATGCTATCGACTGATGGTAGCCAGTGTACAATATTATGGTCACTGGATCCTAATGGAGCAAGGACATTAGGGCGGATTAATATAAATTATACAGGTTTGTAAGAATAGGATTGAGTATTGCTGATTCTCTAGTGGGTTGGTCAAAAACTTGTTTAAGATTTTGACTTGTGGTCAAACTGCAAGTTTCAAGATCATTAAAATCACCCATAATTACTAGACCAAGGTCAGGGTGATTATTTCGAAGTAGGTCAAAAGTGTTAATTAAATGTTCGTTAAGATCATTGTGTTCCGATATTGTCGGACCAGATGGGTGATACACGACACAATTGCAAATAACGATACCGGATAGAGGTCTAGGGAGGCGTTTCGGTCGAATGCTCAGCCATAAGCATTCTAAATTATCACTTTCTAGGTCTACCCGTCGTATACAGGGGATGTCTTTTCTATTATAAGCACAAACTCCACCACCTCGGCCAAATGCGCGATCTTTACGGAATAAATTGTAATCGTTAATTGACAATAAGCTGCTCTCTATGTGTTCGTGTAACCATGAGTCTGTTATTGCGATAATGTCAATGGGCTTGAAACTTAGTAGTGCTGTCAATTCGTCCAGCTTTGGAAAGAGTGAGTGGCCAAGTCCATCTTTGTTTTATATAAATGTTTGTCATGATGTGATTGGCCTCTCTACCAAGGCGAGAAATATTGGGATTATAATGGACTCAAATGTTACTATGGAATCATAAGTATCAACCATTTGCAAATCTGGATTTTATTATTTAAGGAAAATCAGTAAAGTACGAAAATGTCTCAGCCTTAAATCTGCAGAGATTTTAGTACATGCTCTGGTTACATCCCGACTTGATTTTGGAAATGCATTATTACACGGACTATCGAACACTGCTCTTGAGCGAATCCAGAAAGTTCAGAATGCAGCAGCACGAATTGTCACATTAACGAGGAAAAGAGATCAAATAACACCAGTGCTATTCAATCTACATTGGCTGCCGATCAAGGAAAGGATTCAATATAAGTACTATTGATCACTTTTAAGGCTTTATCTGGACAAGCACCAGGATACATTTCTGACCTGCTGGAAGTGTATGTGCCTAGGCAAAATTTAGGATCATCATGAGATAGGAAATTAGTAGTTCCAAATTATAACTTGGAAACCTATGGTGGACGTTCCTTTAGGGTATCTGCACCAATATTGTGGAATAATCTGCCTCAGAATGTTAGATTATGTGAATCTATAGGATCTTTTAAATCAGAATTGAAAACACATTTGTTCCGAATTGTATATAAGGATTTTATTTAGAGTAATTTAACTATTTTTAGAACGATTTTTATAGTCTATATTTTGCAAAACTTTAAATTAAGCAATTGTTGTATAAATATTGTAATTGTAAATTGCAAAGCGCATCTGAACATTTATGGAAATGCGCTATATAAAAAACTAATTATTATTATTATTTTATTATTATTAAGGAAAAAGAAACATGGGAGTATCATTTCTTTGTTAACCTTATAAGCATGGTTTAAAGTTGTAATATGGATTAGGTTGGAGGAGGGAAAATAGCAATTCTTGCGCTTCTTGTGCTGTTTAAACGTTGTACATCGATCTGTAATATGGACGGAGATGTTCGTTCTATTTTGGTTTTATTTGATGTCGATATTTTATGTAAGGTTAAAGAGGACTGTGGACTTATTCTATCCGGAATCTCAGTTGGGTAAAAGTTTAGGTCGTTATCATCATTATCGCTAATTTGTACAGGATCACCATTATCACGGACAATTTCCGCGTGGGATAAGTGACTTCGAGAGTTTATTTGTTCTTCGTTACTTGACGCACAAATATTAGACTGACCATTCTTTCATTCGGAAACGACGAAAATTCTGATTTACTGAATGTTTGAGACTATTGTGCTTGGGGAAATGTAGTTGAAAACCCCGAGTACGGTTTTGTGATGGTTGTTGCGGTGTAGCTTGGTACTAATTAGGTTTGTTGCAGCTAGTAGTTTTACTAGAATAAGTTCTATTAGAGCGACTACGAGTCTGTGTGCGACTGGAAGTACGCGTACAAGACGTATCAATCAAGGATAAGGAGTTAATTCAGGATGCATTTTGCCGTAAAGATCGCGAGTTGGGTAAACTACCTTTTCTAAGCGATTTGACATTCTGACCTTCAGATGGATTAGGGCCACTTGGGTTATGAATAAATTGGTCACTATTATAAACTTTAGAGATCTCTCCCTCTTGGCTTTTTTCCGACTGCAACGAGGCGTTCAAATTAGTATTTACCTCGTGACTGGCTTGTATATTAGCTGCCATAAGCTGACTAACCCTTTCGTTTTCCTCATTACTATCCTCGGGTTTATTGTCATTCGGTTTTAGACATACATCCTTCATATTATCACGTACCGGTGCTTCCACCTCAATACGGTCATTATTGATTTGATCACATTCTTTGGTCCAATTCAGGAATGGAAGAATTCCGCATTATTTTGATTTCAAAAGTTTAACTGAATTTATGCGTATTATTGTTCCACTTAAAGATTCATTACTCGCTTCAGTTGACTTGAGCTTATTCTCAAGGCAGACAAGAGTATTATTCAAATTATTTATCTCCTGATTTCTTCCCCTGACTAAAATAGCCAAATCGCTTTCGAGTTGCTTACATTTTCTTCTTTCGTTAAAAAGATCTTTTCTAAGTTGGATTATTTCATCATTCTCCCGTACGTTAATAGCTGCAGATATTTTTGACTCCATATTTTTATTCATAATAAGGATGTCATGTTTGACACCTTCAGGTTCAGCAGCCAATTCAACATGCCGCATTGACAACCGCAATCGGGTTTGCGGAAATATTCGCACAAAGATGGGTTCGATCCTTCTTCATCATATCTCTGAGCTTGAATATAATTTTCGAGTACATGTTCATGCATTTCTGCGAAAACTTCAACAGCAGCTGGGTTTGCAGGTATATCATTGGTGTTCGCATCATATCTTGGTACAAATAGGCTACTTTCCCACAGGCCATTAGTCAACTTGTTGTTGTTTTTGGTTATCAAATGGGATGTTGTGGAATCGCAAGATGTTAACAGTGTATTACAGACTTTGATCAGTATATCAATCAATACCAAACTTGCAATTCCATGTAAAATAAGTGTGTTTTGTTTCTTGGCATACCAAGTAATTGTTGCACTACTGCAGCAAGTAAACTTCTTCGAATTTCCACCCGGCGAAGACCATTTCCCTTGCAGGGGCGGATCTAGGGGTGATCAGAGCGATCACGCGACTAAGGTAAAAATTGGCCAGAAAAATGGAAAATTGTTAAATTAAAATAGCAGTCCAGTTATCAAACTTCGCGCAGTGTAATGTATTCAAAGTTTAACAGTCCAGTTTTGAAATATCATTCAGTAGCAAGGCCTTCGAACATGAACGCGCAGAAAAGCGGTCTTACGCATGAGTTTTGCACGCTTTGAGTAGATTCCAGCCATCTGATTGGCTATCTCGATTTTTGCGCGATCTGTGGGGAGTTCTGATCGCCAAAGCGATCAGGGGCTCGAATAGAGGCTATCCGATTGGCTAATTCAAAACAATCCTGAATTCCCATTGGCTGGATTTTTTTGATCGATCATACCGTTCAGGCTTCATTAGTGCACGGAAAGGTCTATGACGTTTCTGGCCCTTTCTGATCGCTACTTTGTGCTTGACCGCAAATTATTAAAGTTCAATGGGAAGATTTACTATCAGAAATTCTGAACTAATACCAGCCATGTCTGTTAGTATTTACGAAACTGTAAAGGCTGCTTTAGAGAATGACGATCGACAAAATGTCAAAGATATTGAAGCTGATTTAAACAAGCGATAACGGTGTACCGAAGTTTTCTATTAAAGATTTATTGAGCGTTGTGAATAACATAAGCAGCCTTCCTCGCACGAAATTTTGGTTCGGAATCTTACATCCTGAAGTACGTTCGAGAGAAGACAAAAATCTTTTGTACGGCCTTAACTTAAGATGTATATATTCTATTTTAACTAGATATAGCATTATAACATGTTGTATACTGTGGTGGATTGTGGTCTGTACGCATATACATGCTATAATATCGGCGGGTACGCGTATAAGACGTATAATAATACGAGACGAAATTTACATAATATTTCCGTCAATTTATATAAATATTGCGGCTTAATACAGGCAGTTTCAGTGTGTTTATACCTTGTTTATGCTTCTTGTGACATGTAGCTATAGACTTTATATATTAATCAGGGGCCGATTTTATAAAAAAGTGATTAAAGTTAACTATAGTTAGTGGAAACGTCATCCAATAAAAAGCGCGTATTTGAGAGTTAATCACTATTTAACTACAAAATAGTGATTAAAAAAGTGATTAAGAGTTTTAAACAACGGCCCCTGGTTATTTCAGCAGCGAACGAAAAAGAGTTAACTACTTTTTAACTGCAGTTAGCGCTAACTACGTTTTTATACAACCGGCCCCAGATCGCTACTTAATAACACTGTTTATACCTATTTTATATTTTAAACTACAAGAACACGACAATGTAGCATGGCCTTGTGTAATACGATCTCTACAACATGTACACAACAAGTAAAATGGATCATGTTGCCATTGTGAATACTTATTTATGGCGCATGTTTCTGCTACGAATGAAACTCGAGGAGCAGTGAATTAAACGTGGAAATTCTCTTCCTGCTTAATCAATCAAATGTTTAAACTGCATCACTATATTGCATTTTTTTTTTACCATCCATGTCAAAGGAAAAAATATGCGATTAAATAACAATTTTTAAAACGTCAAGTCATCCTTGTCAATCTATTTCTCGATGAGAATTGGATATCTGTTTGACATTCGGCGAAAAAGCAATTTTTTAAGTTACATTTTTTCGTAAACAGAACACATATAAAAATATTAATTTGCTTGGCAACACCCCCCCCCTCCGACACCCCGTCAAAAGTACCCCTCCGCCAGTCAAAAGTACCCCCCTCCCCCAATGTTCAGCAACGAAATTTTTGACTAACGTACGAAAAATCCTAGATCCGCCCCTGTTCCCTTGCAGCTTGATAGCGCTTTCGACAAATTCTTTTAGCATATCGAAGCTGCCACTCCATCTAATACGTGTACCATCGTAGCTCAAGTTTGTACAGGTTGGGTATTCTTGAATTTCTTTGACATCCCATTGTTTTGAATAAATATTAACGCTTTTTGTAGAGCTAACATAATTAGAACTGACCGCCATATTGGATTACAACTGACCGCCAATTGGGGTGTGTATATTCATATATTCATGTTCACATACCGTAAAAACAATGACATTCAAAGGAAATCAGTCGGGCAGAACACGAATATATGACTATACTCCGCCCCAATTATCGGTCTAGCTACGGCCCTGATAGCTCCACATCTAATAATAGTGAATAATACCTAATTCTGAAAGTGGATATCTAACAAAACTTTGAAATCCGTTCACTTTGGCGATTTATGTCGCCATTTCTGATTTAAATGCATATTTCTTAATTTGCGAAATAAATATTTATCCACCCAGCTAACACCACTGAAGTGTTTTTGGTTTAACGTTAGTCTAAATGAAAACAGGGGGGGGGGAGGAAATCGCTGCATTTTCAAATAAGTTTCTCTTAGTTTCCCCTCCATTCTCGCATTCCCTTCCTATCCCTTTTCCTACTTCTCATTCTCCATCTTTCGTCGCCTCCGGTATCTTCCCATTTTCATCCATCTCTTCTCTTTGTTTTGCCATGCTATACGCACCATTCCCTTACCTTACTGTTTGTTCATTAGCCTGATTAATAATTGATTGCTATTATTTTGATACGTTTTAGGCTTATTTTTGCTCAGAAATAATACCTGCGTTGAATACTGCCCCGAAGGCACGTTCTACAACGAGCTAACAAAGTTTTGCGATCCATGCGACAGTAACTGCAGAGCGTGCTCTGCAGGGAAGGACCATTGTACCGCTTGTCCTCCTGGACTATTTTTGAGTGGCATCCCAGGTGCACAGAAAATTACAACTTGCCTATTAAGATGTTCTGGTGAGCAGCACAAGATACTGCGAGACCCCGGTATCCGAATAAATCGTATAAGTTATTCCATTGGTCGTGTGGAACTTTGGCAAGATCGAGAAGGGAGATTGACAACAGTTTGCCCATATAACTGGGTCATCAAACAGGCGGCCGTTATATGTCGTCAGCTTGGTTATGGTGATCCAGTGAAAGCTTACACACAATATTACGATTCCAACTCCTCACTAGGCAAATTCTCCATAACAGTGCAATGCAATGGAACAGAACTCTCTGAATGTGACCTCGCTAAAGGTATGTCATTTTTTGCAAATACCTTCATGGTATCCTGTTAATTTAGAAGAACAGGTATATCCAAGACGCTGTAAAACACGCGTAGCGAAACTGCTATGGCTTCTTCCCTGTGCGATGTCGGTCCATGTATAGTGAACAAAGATAGGCTAATTAAGGTACCCTAAGATAAGCTAAGTACCATAAAGTAGAATAAGATTACCTAAGATAGGTCAATGTACCCTAAAGATTGGCTAAAGTATACTAACGAACCCAAAGGTACAGGCTGGGTAAGATGGGCTAAGGTGTCCTATTTGAATGCTGTTCTTAGGGTTTGTAATCCAAGTGAGTATATATATATATATATATATATATATATATATATATATATATATATATATATATATATATATATATATATATATATATATATATATTTTAAGACCTGACCAGGAACGACTGCGAAAAAGGCAGCACAAGGTCCTCTGGTAGGAATTGAACCTACGGCCCTGCGATTATCCTAATGTTTATCCTAATATTTATCCAAGTTTATCCAAGATTATCCTAATGTTAATCCTAATGATTATCCAAGGTATCCTAATGTTTTTTAAGGTAGGTTAAGTTACCCTAACGTACTCTAAGGTAGGTTATGGTATCGAAGGAAACCGAAGGCAGGCTACCGAATCTAAGATACTGTAGGATAAGGAACCCTAAGATAGTCTGTGGTATTCTAAAATTTACTAAGTTACACTGATATAGGCTAATTTGACCTAAGGTATCCTAATCGCATTATATTTTGATATATTATAACGATGGTAATACTAAAGGCCGAGGAACACTGGGCGCGATTTTCCGATTTAGGCTGCCCGATAGCTTTGATGCTAGTTTAAGTTTTCCAAATATTTAGAAGCGCTATATTATTTTGAGTTATTTGCTTTACATATCTTTTCCAATTTCCTTTTCATTAGCTGCTTTATTACTCCGGGTACTGTAAGTACCGGAGTATTAAAATGTCAGATCTTTTTTCTTAGGCGACACAAGTGTGCACTTCCACAGGTGCGCCGTACGCAACGCACGCAACGCACTACAAAAATGTTAGGAATATATTTATTTTCTACGCGAGGTAGGGAATCGTTACATCAAATTTAGATAACTAACAGTTCTTAAATGTTCAATACGGTTCGTTCCTTCGTGTTCAGGCAGGTTCTTCTTATAGTAGTTTTATTAACGTTCACTCATTCCTTTAAATCTTCGTTGTCTTTAGTCTGTCTTCTTTGTTCGTGCTGTTTCGTTTTGAGTTTTCGTAGCTTTTCATCATTTAAGTTTTACTTCGTCTACGTCCACTGTCGACTGTCGATTGTGCACGTCCTCTTATACTAACGGTTGAGGGAATCTTTGTACACGTGGTCTAACAAGTGGTGTGATCCGTATCCAGCGAATCAACGTTGAGTTTTCAAAGTGTAGTTTGGCGTTGTTAGCTCGTTCCAGCTCTCACATTCTGTTTATTTAAGGCGTTGCCACACTAGTCGAGTCGGTTCGCTGTTAAATCGATCAATGCCAAAACAGGTTCACAACTTTAAATACTTTTGCAGGTCTTATAGTAAAAACTTCGAACTATACCTATGTGAACATAACTTTACCTACAAGACTAAATGTACTCGTAATTTTATTGAACTAAGATTCTGATGACGTAATATTTTAATTGCATGACCGAGTGTTATCTAGCTTGGGATGACTCATTATTACGCCTGAGTCTGTCCACGTGAAAGGCCGATGTTCACGAGACCTAAGGCAGCTGCCCTGTTTAAACAGATCTGCCCACAAGATAAACTGTAGGAATCAGGTCAATTAAACATGACATCTTCACATGCACAATGACAGCTAGTTCAACAAACTGTCACAGTCTAATGAAGGAAATAATCAATATTTACTTTATATTAACATGTGTCCAAATATCCATTATCTCTTCTCATTAGGCTTTTAGTAATATTTACTTGCACGAGCATTTAACCTGCTCTCAAGCAAACATTTTTGTATTATTTTATTTTTAACCTAAAATTTTATGTATAAGTAATAATGTTTCGTAACAAAAATACGAATATCTAAAAATAGCCGCCATTCGTAGTAAGGTCGGAGCGAGCGTTGTGTTTACAATGTATTTAGTTCTATTTACAGTAAATATTATCAAATGGAGGGGGTTCTCATACACTCGTTTTTATACAGTGACCACAGTTCATATAAATACAAATCGAAATTCGAGACTTTCTCGCGTGTTTAGTAGCGGTTGCCGTTATTGCAAAGCTAGTTCTGATCGACAAATGGCTTCGTTCGTTACTGACGTTAGCCCGGTATTTTTTAATTTTGTCAACACTGTACGTAGTTAAATTGTGTTAACACTCGTCACTCGTGTTCTTTAAGTCTCCCTTTGTGCCTCGTGGCCAAAATTGAAGTACAAACAACGCACAAATCTATTCGACATGACATATCTGAAAGTCTTCGATTCACGAGGCAATTTATCTCGCAAACCACAACAATATTGGCAATATTGTCTACCACGCTTGAATTAGACAAAAGCGCATATAAAATATATATAACTAGATAGCTTTACCCAACACTTTTACGCCTATTACACAGTTTAATGTTTTGTTTATTGAATTTATAGAGTATTAAAAATCGGTCTCGACAGCTGCATTGTCTTGGTCTTAAAGTAAAATCATTACTAA